ACGTTTGTCACGTTATTATTATTTGTTTAACAAATAAATAATGACATCAAAATTGTTTTAAGGCGTTTAATGATTTTAGTAATAAACTATACTAATATACATACTAAAAAAAAAACTATACTAAAATACAAAACTACTAAAACTATGCTAATACTAAATCGATATATATGAAAGAATTAAAATAAAATTAGAAGGTCGCGGGTTCGACGCCTTTCAGGATCAGAAGGAAAAGTGAGTACTTCCCTGACACGTCTGGCGGCGAGTCCGGCGGGAGTGGTAGGGGATAAGTGTCCTTTTACAACGGATTAAACTCGTGCGAGTTTAATTCGTATGAATTTATTTCATATATTTAATTATAACCTCCCATCCTTAATATTTGAGAAAATAATAACATGGATTCACAGCTCCAGCAAAGTTCCCTGGAACACACAGTCAAAATCCTTAATTTACCTTGCAACCAAGGTTGAAAACATATACGTCCACTGCTAGAATTAACTGGGAAAGTGAAACTAATAAATTTGGTACGGCGGTACATGCTAATCGCAAAAGAGGCAAAAATTAAAGTTATATCTAGCTAAGTACAATGAAAAGACATAAAAATTACATGACAAAATAACTAGCATATGACATATTTAATTTACATATTAAGTATGTATTGTTTATATATTTCTTTAAAAAATCAAACTAATGTAATTATTGTACTATATTATAAATTTGCTCACACTTACCCAATATAAGGGGAAGAAAATAAATATTTCAATAATTATCAAACTAATTAGAAGCAATTAGATATAATTTGCATAACATATGTGTTTGGGATGATTAAAAAAAATGCATTTACAGAAATGCATTTAGGCGAGTTGTGCCTTCACGGTCACTCAGGTCACTGGCAAGCCGCGCGAGCTATCATGCGTCCCCACTTGTCTCCGCACGCGAAGTAGATAACACATTACAATACCCCGCTGGCTACCCAAGGATTTTTCTTACTGCAAGTAGAAAAATCCGCAGAATCCAAAGAATCCAAAAAAAAGAAAAAAAAAAGCAATGTGCTACCAGTATTTAGACAATTTAAAATCTTTTATGTGCCACGGCCCTAAATATTTTCCGTACATGTCCTCTAATTCGTACACTAGAGGAGACCTCTTTTTAGTTATACGGCATTTAATAAATTTTGGTGCTAATTTTTTATTAAAATATTTGTGTTTATCACTCAGATAGTAAGTGCGCTTAAACACAATATCGCCTTCATTAAATTCTGTGAACGTTCTCCTTAAATTATAACGTTTGGAATTTTGTTGGTGATGATGCCATAGTGACGCCTGAACTTTGTTGAATATGTTAGCGAGGCAGCCGATGTTTTCAGCATAAGCGTCTCGCGGTAAGAAAACAATTTCGTCACCGAGGTCGTTGTCAACGTAGTGAGAACCACATATTACTAATTCACGTCCATATACAAGAAATGATGGAGTGTATCCAGTAACCTCGTTTACAGAGTTGTTTATTGCAAACAGTATTTTTGGCAAATATACATCCCAAGAACGCTGATCTTCATCCACAAAGGTAGATAGACAGGTCATAATTGTTTTATTATAGCGTTCTACCAAATTAACCTGAGGAGTATATTTAGGTGTAAGAAAAACGTTAGGAATATTATACCTATTAAAGAGCGCAATGGTCTTCGCACAAATAAATTGGCTGCCATTATCCATGTACACCGTTTGGGGGATTCCATGTGTTAAAAATACAGAATCTTCCAAATGTTTAGTTACAATGTCGGCTGTAGCTCTTCTTACCGTAAACGCTAAACAATATTTAGAGAAACAACATGTTACGACTAAGATATAAGAATTTTGTTTTCTACTTACTGGCATGGGTCCGATGAAATCTATTGAAATAATTTGGAAAGGTCTGCAACACTGTTTAGGTCGACCCATTTCTCCTAATACATTATGAGTAGGAGATTTATAAGATAAGCAGATGTCACACTTTGTAACAAATTTTACGACATCCCGATGCATACCTGGCCAAAAATACTGCAATGCTAAACGACGATATGTTTTATGGATGCCTAAATGACCTGAAGTGGGTTCTGCGTGGTTTTCTTTGATAATGTGTTCTCGTAATTCTAATGGAACTACTTCTTTCCACGAAAACTCTGTAGTTAATAAACATTTGTTTTTAGAACGCCGATATAGTTTTTCCTCCTTAATAATAAAATTTTCAAATTTACCAGGATTATTCATACAACCATTATAAATGTCTAGATACCATTTATCATTTGTCGTTAGGTAAGATTTTGCTGTAGAAATAGCAGAAACTACGACAGCGCGAGATAACGCGTCTGGAATGATATTATCAGCACCGCGTCTATGTTTAATAGTAAAATTAAAAGAAGATAGTCTAATGCCCCATCTTGCAAGCCTGCCAGTAGGGTTATTTAAAGAGAGAAACCACTTCAACGCTGAATGATCAGTGTAAACTACAAATGGTTGACCATTTTCAAGATAGCAACGCCAGTGTTCTAATGCTACTATTACGGCTAATGTCTCTCTCTCGGTAATACTGTAATTCTTTTCTGCAGCGTTAAGAGACTTGCTCATATAGGCAACAGGATGTTCTTTGTCATTGACTGTTTGGGTTAACATTGCACCTACTCCATAATTACTGGCGTCTGTGTGAACCTGGAAGGGCAAATTATAGTCAGGGCAATGCAAGACTGGTGCAGATACTAAACATTCTTTTAGCTTTTTAAAAGCTTTGTCTGCCTCTGACGACCAGTGAAATTTTGGAGCACCTTTGCGATTTGAAGTTAGTTTATTAAGAGGGCCAGCTATAGTGCTAAAGTTTGGCACAAAACGTCTATACCAGGTTGCTGTTCCTAAAAAACGTTTTACATCTTTTTTTGAAGATGGTGTTGGATACTCTAAAATTGCTTTTACTTTTTCGGGGTCTGTTCTGAGACCCTGGGCGTCTATTACGTAGCCCAAATATTTTAGGCGAGACCGAAAGAATTGACTTTTTTCGAAGTTAATCGTTAAATTTGCTTCCTTTAATTTATTTATTACACGAGATAATAAAGAAACGTGTTCATCAAATGTGTTAGAAATAACAATTATATCGTCGAGGTATGCAAATACCTTAAGATCAAATGAACCAAATAATAAATCTACAAGCCTTTGTTGGGTTGCAGGTGCATTAGTAAGACCGAAAGCCATCCTCTTAAAACAGAAGGTCCCGCGACCCTGGACATAAAAGGCAGTTTTTTCGCGATCGCGTTCTGAAATTAAAATTTGCCAAAATGCTTTAGAAAGATCTATACTAGATATAAATTTTGCGTCTCGCAGATTATCTAGTATTTCGGAAACATAAGGCAAGGAGTAAGCATCGCGTTTAGTTACAGAATTTAACTTGCGACTGTCCAAGCAAATGCGTGGTTGGCCATTTTTTTTAGTAACGATTAAGATTGGAGAGGACCAAGAGCTCTCACAGGGCTGAATTACGTCCAATGAAAGCATTTCATCAACCTGCTGGCATAAGATTTGTTGCTTTACAGGGGACATTCTATAATAACGTTGTCGTATAGGTTTCGTGTCACCCGTATCAATAGAATGACATACAAGAGAAGTACAGCCTAAGCCCTTGCGTTCGGAAGAAACGTCCTTAAATTGTTCAATTAAATCGTCAGCAATCAAGCGTTGATTTTCATTAAGGGATGCGTATGAATGTACGTGGGAATTTAAAATTGATTCATTTGTGTTTGAATAATGATCTGTAGGTTCTCTTTTATATTCGATGCTGTTGATGTATTTTGGACATATGTTAAATTTTTTCCAGATATCAATACAACTAATATAAGAGAGGTCTCTATTTCAGGAACTACAAAAGTCTTCAACGTATAATAATTGTTTTCAAAATTAAATGGGAGATTAATATAGCCTAAGCAATTTAGTTTTTGTCCACCAGCTGCTGTTATAGAGATTATTTCATCAGTGTGCATAGCAAATCCTTGATGTATCAGTAAACGATGTGCATTATTACCTAGCAAGGTAACGGCTGAGCCAGAATCTAATAACCCCCAAAACTTTATATGTCCTATTTTGATTGATAAATAAGGTCGGACGTCGTTAGGTGGTTTATTATATAGAACTGTAGCAACGGTGTAGCTATTAAAAAAATTATTAATAAATTTCAACCACTCTTTCCAATCTGTATTATAAGAGTGGTTGGCGAGGTCGCTACAATTCTGCTTTATTAGTTTTTTGAACTAGCAAAAACTAATAAAAAGACGGAAGACTTGTGCAATCTGGACAAGTGTAAAATGTGTAGTCATCACGACCACATTTGAAACAAAATACTTTGCGTTTCTCAGTGCATTGTCTTAAGTTGTGTGTATCAACACGACATCGAGGGCAAAACTTTTGTTTACTATCGTCATTTTGAATAGCATCTATAGGTTTATTATTACCATAAAATTTTTGTTGCCTTTGCGGATTAGTATTATTAAATAGATTAGAATTGGAAAAATATTTTCTATTAATGTTACTTGAAGGTTTATTATCGGTTGTATAAGTTTTATTATAATTAAATTTGTTTGTGGTAGAATAGTGCATTTTATTTTTCTCTGTCGAGTTTGTGAGTGGCTTAAATGCAAATTCGGGTGCTAATGTAGTTGAAGTTATTTTAGGAGGTTCATGATATTTAGAAAGACGGGACTGTACATTCTCATAATTTTTACAAACTGTACGTAATACATCAATAGATTTAAGGTTAGGCACTGCAACTAAGGCGCTAGCATAACAAGGTTTGATATTGTGCATAATAATTTCTAACTGATCTTCCTCAGAAGGTTTTTTAAATAAACGGGAAAACATTCCGGTCATAATAGCTAGGTAAATAGTAATATTCTCAGTTTCGCCTTGTGTGCGAGATTTTATCTCGTCCAATAATCGATAATCATGATCGGGAATAACAAAAACATCCTTTAGTAATTCGCATAATCTTTCCCAAGAAGTAACATGTGGTTTTACACTCCGAAACCAGTGTAAGGCATCATCAACGAAAATTTCTGATCCAAAATCTATAATTTTAGAAGAGGGAATACCACGGGCTGTTATATAATCGTTTATACGTTGGATAAATGATAGGACGCATGATTTTCCATCAAACTTAATACTAGTTAAGTCCGAAGAATAAGCTCGATCACACGTAACGACCATAGGGGGCGGTGTAATTGTAATAGCATCTGTAAATTCAGACAAGGAATCCGTATCAGGCTTAAAATGTTCTAAGTTTTTGAAATTTGTATTTAGCTTAAGCCTGAGGCTTTCTAAAATATCTGTAGACTTTTTATCTACAGCATCCAGACGCTGGATCCTATGATATAAATGATTCAGTAAATTTTGAGTACGATTATGTTTTTTTTTATCATACTTCACTGATAATGTTTTTAAGTTTGTTTCAACTTTAACAAAAGTTCCTCTTATACCCTCTACGTCTATAGAAAACTCAAACCCAGATTCAATAATATCATCTGAAGGCATCGAATTGGCTAACTTGACTATCTGCTGCGTAATTCTTGAACGTTTTCCACAGGTGTGCCACCTCTAATGGCTACCTCATAGCTTAGTTCGTTTTTTTGTAAGGACAAAAATTGAATTTCGTATGACATAATTTCAGAAGTCGAAGAGAATCCTTATACTAGGTTTATGTGAGCAAGTATAAAATTCTACAAATAACAAAACTTACTTGTATAAATAATAAATAATATTCTTCCGTACCGTTACAGTTAATATCATAATAATCTTCTAAGTTTTCTATGTTTAGTAATCAATGATAAGATGTTCGAAAAATAAACTACGACAAAAGCAATTAAAAAGAGAAAAAAAAATGCAACTAAAAAGTGCAACTGTAGTATACTTGTGTTTAAATAAAACTTACTACTATAAATATATAATTATAAAACCAAAATACAGTAATATAGTGTTATGCTTGTATATGAACAACATAATAGACAAAACAAAAGAAAAAAGAGACAATTCGACACAGTTATGAAACTTTTTACTTTATATAACACTATATTTACTACAGTTGCAAAAGCATAAAGAGCAAAGTAAAAGTTATAAAAAACATGGGTTTACAATATAAACGTACACACAAACTAAAATGACTGATCCTGAATAACCGAGTTGAGGCGCCAAATGTCACGTTATTATTATTTGTTTAACAAATAAATAATGACATCAAAATTGTTTTAAGGCGTTTAATGATTTTAGTAATAAACTATACTAATATACGTACTAAAAAAAAACTATACTAAAATACAAAACTACTAAAACTATGCTAATACTAAATCGATATATATGAAAGAATTAAAATAAAATTAGAAGGTCGCGGGTTCGACGCCTTTCAGGATCAGAAGGAAAAGTGAGTACTTCCCTGACACGTCTGGCGGCGAGTCCGGCGGGAGTGGTAGGGGATAAGTGTCCTTTTACAACGGATTAAACTCGTGCGAGTTTAATTCGTATGAATTTATTTCATATATTTAATTATAACCTCCCATCCTTAATATTTGAGAAAATAATAACATGGATTCACAGCTCCAGCAAAGTTCCCTGGAACACACAGTCAAAATCCTTAATTTACCTTGCAACCAAGGTTGAAAACATATACGTCCACTGCTAGAATTAACTGGGAAAGTGAAACTAATAAATTTGGTACGGCGGTACATGCTAATCGCAAAAGAGGCAAAAATTAAAGTTATATCTAGCTAAGTACAATGAAAAGACATAAAAATTACATGACAAAATAACTAGCATATGACATATTTAATTTACATACTAAGTATGTATTGTTTATATATTTCTTTAAAAAATCAAACTAATGTAATTATTGTACTATATTATAAATTTGCTCACACTTACCCAATATAAGGGGAAGAAAATAAACATTTCAATAATTATCAAACTAATTAGAAGCAATTAGATATAATTTGCATAACATATGTGTTTGGGATGATTAAAAAAAATGCATTTACAGAAATGCATTTAGGCGAGTTGTGCCTTCACGGTCACTCAGGTCACTGGCAAGCCGCGCGAGCTATCATGCGTCCCCACTTGTCTCCGCACGCGAAGTAGATAACATATTACACGTTATATTCAATTTACCTACATTTCATTCATTACAATTTTGTTTTAAATTTTGTTCAAACACTATCATTCCTGTTATACTGCATTTATAAATGCTGTCCTCTTCCTTCAAAGTAGAATTTGCGAACCAAAGTCAGGAGCGTAGGTATCTATACAGGGTTATTTTGCAATAACCGGCCAAATTTTACAGAGTAGGTTCAGAATAAGTAATATATAAAAATAAATATATATATATATATATATATATATATATATATATATATATATATAACTAGCTTGCCAGGCAGACGTCGTTCTGCCCTTTACGACGACCCTTTGTCATGTCCTATCCATATCCTTAAATTCGCAAAAAAAATTGTGGATCACTCATGGGCAAAATAACTAATCCTATTTCTCAAGTTGTATAAAACTGCACACGGTGAGCAAATTTGATTAAAATCGGTTAAGTAGTGTAGGAGTCCATCGCGGACAAACGTGACATGTAATTCATATATATTAATATAATAAAGAAAAAAATTCAAACATTCTGTACTTTTTATCTTTTAAATTCAAAATGCGTGGTAATGCATTATTTTAACTGATTTTACTGCACACTCATACATTCGAAAGGGTCGATCGGTAGGCAAGAACGTTGTTGACCATAAATCACTTTCAATTTGGGATAATTTCAAATAAAATTAAAAGCCTTATTTACTCAAATTTTCAAATAATGCAATAAAGGTATATCATTATTTATATATATTTGAACTTATGTTTAAAATTAGGGTACTCTTTGAAAAATAACCCTGTATAAGGAGATTGTGTAAATACGTGTAATATTATAATATTGTCTTACCTAATCATAGTTTGTAGCAATATTACAGAATTTCAAGATGTCATTTAAAAAAAAACGTAATTGGTAGAGCAACACCATAGCTATATAATTATGTATGCAGAATGGAATAGGTCGGCTCGAGGAAGGACTTTGCTCGCTTCTGCACTGTATTTCATGTGGTGTGTGAAGAGATCTGGAGGCCCATGTTAGTATGTATTTATAATCTTAGTCTTCAGGGGTGAGAAAGCATCTTCATTTTGATTCTTAATCAATGTTCGATAGGTATAGGTAAGTTGTTGCTGGAAACACCTACGTGTTTCCAGCAACAACTTACCAACTATTTGTTTTGTGTCACCCCTCCATCCATTACAGCCTATAAAAGTCCACTGCTGAATATAGGCCTGCCTGCCACATAAATTGCCTCATTTTATTTTGCCATAGTTGCCACACTTTCAGGCTGGTTGGCAAAGGCATGCTGCCATTTCCTGTTTTAGTTTCCATCTGCCACCTCTTACGACACCCACGGAGCTATATGGAGCAGTGGATATTCTTATTGGTCAGTTAACTAGAGCTGGCATGTTCACAGTACTCACACCTATACAATTTCACTATACAGTATGTTTGAAAAATAAATGATTTTGATTCTAAATGCGACTCTGGTCTAAGTGTAGACTAGAGTTAAGTTTTAGTAGGATTGGGTGATAGATAAATAAAAATATATGAGTTGCTTGCTATACATAACATAAACACTCACGCCTAACACCCAGAAGGGTTGGCAGAGACTACAGACTTCCATTTGGCAGGATCCTGACACACCTCTCTCGCCTCCTTCACATCCATACACCTACGCATACATGCTCGTCGGTTAAGGGTACTCCTAATTTGACCCGTTTTTAAAAAAATCGCCAATTTGGTCGATAAATTTTCGCCTAGGACGTGCCTTACCGACTCTGCCATTCTCTTCTGCAACATAAATTTTCTTTGTCACTGTGTGTGTTGCTTGCTATAATATATTATGATTATTACATTATTGCTTTTAATCAGAATTGTAAATTAAATCTTCTACCCCACTCAAACTTTCATCGCTCGAAGAACTTGATATTTCGCCGACGGAATTTCCTAGTGTTATTATAAATGAGTCACGAGATTGTCCTGTTAAAGTTTTTAATTCTTTCAGAAGACATTTTATTCTAACCTCCAAATAGGTATATAATCACACGCGCAGCGTGTCGATCACACGTGACTGACGCTAACGGTTGAATACCAAAAAGACCACGCTGTATTTATAAACAGTAGCAAAAGCAAAACAATAACTGTCCCCTTCACACTCATAAGCTAGACCGCGCGAGAGGGAGACGAGCAGACTTTTCATGATGCGCATGTAGTGGGACGTAACGCCGCGCGTTATTCACATATACTACAAGCGCAATGTGTAAATGTGTTGAACGTGCCAGCTTTAGTTAACTGACCTTTACACCGCCACTACGTAGTTAAAGGGTTTTTGTTATCGTTATTTCTGTGAATAAATATCTTTACAATAAGGAGACACCATTTCCTGTTAATGTTAATCTCACGTGCACGCGATGTGTTGACGGATTGTGAAAATGATGATTGTATTTATGATAATTTCTCTTCAGTCTTGATTAACTGTTTACATTTTTTACAGATGTTCTACAAAACTCTGCCGCATCTAACAGATACGCAAATTAAAAACGCTAAGATTGTACGCAACAGGGATGGTACTGTAGTTGAAGGACAAAGTGATGAAAAAAGGAAATGATGAGTAGAATGGATGATAATTGTGATGATGTTTCTGTATAGAGAATAATAAGAATGCTTTTAAGAAAGTTTATGATTAATAACCGTTGTTATTTATTAAGTAATAAGAAACGGTTTGTTCCTGGTCCTCCTAGTGTGTCCTCAAAGTGGGTGAAGCGTAGGGTTGCCAACTTTTTTTAAATGAAATATAAGATTTTCGAGATACCTGGAACCTGTAAAAATAGTGAAGTTGGCGAAATAATAAAGCACATAATATATTATGTTTCAAATGAATATGAATATTTTCAGAGGGATATTATTACTGCTTTTTGAGTCTTCATTAACAGCTACTCACCATTGTCAGCTATTTTTAAGTACAGCAGTGGCGCCTACTATAATTTTTTTAGAATTAAAATATTGGGTGTTACATAGGGTTAGCAACCCTAGCAGAGCATGAGAGCATTAGATAATTCATAAATAAATAAAAAAACATTTGTTTGCTAAACTCCAAAAACAAATATTTCGTAGAAAGTAAAATAGTTCTTACTTTTTCAACCAAATTCAAAAAAGTAGGAGGTATTCAGTGTGACCATATTTTTATCTGTGTTACCTCAGAACTTTTTCTAGATGAACCTATTTTAATGATTCTATTTTTATTTGCCATGCTGCAGTTATTATGGCTATAGCATAAATGGGTCAGCTCGACTGGGGTAGAACCACGCTTTCACAAAATACCAGTTTGAAACAGCTAAATAACTTTCATTGGTAACTAGACATTCCATCTTAGTGGTGACAACGCATCTGTGCATTTAGATTTTTAATAGATGATGGATGTAGATATCTATAGGCCACAGCATCAATTTACTATTAGGTCAAATCTGTGAACGCTTGCCACCCTAATTCTATAAAAAAATATTAGTCTCACTGCTGGGCACAGATACCCCTCTCATCTCATTTTTGAGAGGTTTACAGAGAAATTGTCCACCGCGCCGCTGCAGTGCTTGGGAGCGGACTTCGAAATACTTCCTACCTCATTTCGCCGTACCTTCGGAATATTTTATTCCTCTAAATAAAGTTTGATAGAGATAATGTTTATGGCATCAGGCCGCCAATTTTATTTGGTCGAGGAATGATGTCCCGAGTCTGGTAGACTCGAGTACCGTGTATTCACGTACTTGAGTTCCTAAAATAAGTGTTCAGATACACTAAACTCGAGTAAAACTATCAAGTATTCGTACTCGATCACTGAACAGAATACTTAAAACTTTATAACATAATGCTTTCTTATATTATTCTTGTTTAGTTTTATTTTGTGATTTATTAATAGTCTGTAAAATGAATTTGTATTTATTTACTCTTTATTTTATTTTTGATGGTGTTTTTGGAAGTGAGAAACTAGGCCTGAGTCGATTATGATTGATTGAATTATCTTTGATTTGATCACGAACAACATGCGAGTGATCCAGTCACAGCTCAAAAGATTTGATAATTTTTAACCAACATTTTGTTGTTTTTTTATTGTTTGCTTTTCTTGACGTGTACATCATGATATTTGGTGACTTTGCTGCGCTGGGGATAGTTTATTTATTTTTTATATTACATAATTATTCAAAAATATTAAATGTATATTTTTACATTGATCATTACAGTCACGTTTGACCCGGGTTAGCGTCGTAGTCACATACCATCAACACATGCCTATGAGAAACATTAAGGTATTCGAATTCAATGAGGTACTTGAGTACCTGGTAAATGTGGTTAGTGACTTAAATACTCTTTGGTATCCAACCTGGTACTCGAATACTAGATTCAAGTAAGTGACTCGATTATGTTTTAACCAGTTCCAAGGTATTCAAATACCAAAAATAGCCAACTCGACACAGTCGTGTAGTGATCATTGCACAACAGAGATATTTAACTAAGCATATAAATGTTCCAAATATACAAAGTGTAATTTTTATACCCCAGTACGAGGTATGAATGTTAAAGCTATATTGGTCAATGCTATGTAATAAACAATTTTAATTTATTTTTTACGAATAAAGACTGATATGTTAATCGTTACCTTCATTTAATATAATTTACCCTTAACTTTTTAAATGTTTAACACACATATACACATGTACGCACACACACGCGATGAAACTAATGAAAACCTCTAGTACTCACGTTGTCTAAAATAATTTAGTAAATATAATCTAAAAAAGTCGCCGTAAAACACGTTGAGAGTGATTTTGAAAACAATAAAATAGTCTTGTTTTCAAAATTTCTATTGATTTATTTCTAGAGATAGTCTGTGCAATAAAATGTTATAAAAGTTCTTCTAAATGTAACCTCTAGCTACAGTAGCGCCACCCTTATTTAACGCTTTTCTACACACAGTGTGTTCTCCTTACCTCTACACTCCATAGTTCTTGCTTATAGTGCGACTACAGTGGCGCTATATTTGGTATGAAATGAAATTGTAAAGGATTTATATACATAGTAGAGACACACTACAGTGAAATAATTATGTCTGCAACACACTGACCTCTGTATATACAAATGTATATATAGAGGTCAGTGCTGCACATAGATAAATATGTAGCAAGGTGCTGCAACACGATTGGTTCGTCCCGAAAGGGGAAGAGTCATGCTCATGGAGGTTAGAGAACAGGAGAACGATCGCCGTAGAAAACAGCGTCCCAGAAATATGGACACCATAAGTGAGGCGCTGCGATCGCTAAGTTCGCTTAATAAAAGTCATTTTCAGTCTATTTTTCTGATCAGATGTCAAACCACTTGCACATCCACGCACAATAAAATATTTTGTTATTTACGTAGCGATCGTTCTCCTGTTCTCTAACCTCCATGGTCACGTTCTTATTCGACACAATGCTGCTTTCGTATGGTAAGTGATGAGAACCGAAGATCCTTTAACAGTAACAAGGTATTCCAATTGTAAAGGTGACGCATCTGCATTTTAGATGTAAGCGTTTATAGACGATACCGTCCACTTGTCATCAAGGGAACTTTATGCTTGTCACCCTTGTATAATATAGGCATTTAAAGGACTAAACAACACGCATACATCATGAGTTCTGCTGATCCCATTGAGAATTATTGTATTACCATCGAATCTTTACACGTGTGCAAAATTTCAGATTGTTCAGGCCTTCGGAAATGGGTGAAAACTAAATGATAGTATTCCAATGCATTCATTATTACATACAGGTCAATCTAATAAAACCGTGATTAAAAATTGAAAAATAAAACAAATATTTTAATACGAAAAAGTGTTTTATTACGCACTTATTATTTCAATCAAATGTTTTACGAAATACTCATCTATAGCATAATGCATACACGATCGTTAGAAGACACCACAAATTTTATAATGGCTCATTACATACTAGGAAAATACAAAAATATTAAGCGGTTTCTTGGTAAACACTAAGGATACCTTAACTTTTAAATATGCGAATTTACACGTATTTATGAAATGCACTGTTTTATACTCATACAATTCACAGCTGAACGCTTTTTATAACACCTTTTGACAAGGAATAACGGTCATATCTCCATGTAATTAAGGATCAGTTCACACCGAGAAGTGACGCTACGCTACTAAGTACGCGACGCGGCACGCTTGTTTTAAGATAGTTACACAAAAAACAACTTTATTTACTACTAAGATGCCTCGTGGCGACGCGCTGCATGGAGTGAAACCACTGGCCTCGTCAAGCATCGTCGCTTCGTGTCGCGTCTCTTTGTGAACTTACCCTAAGACTTACGGTTGTTCAGTGTCAATAACAGAGAAGTTTAAATTTCTTTGGTTATGTTAATTACGACATATTTTAGTCCTTAGCACAAGACACCTTCACTCACTTACGGTTAGTAAAATAAGGCTATTCACGAGATTACTAACAATAACTCACGTGTGAACATTGAATACATATTGCATTACGTACTAGGAGACGCCGAGACTGCTTTGTTTGCAACACGATTTTGAGCCCACGAGCTCGAACTTACTTAGTTTTTGCCATAAAAAGGTATTCTGTGCCTTCTTCCACGCGCCCCGCACTAGTATGTAGTACATAATTACTTCAATGCGTGTGTATAGACTGAACACGTTTAAATCTTTTTGATGTTTCTTTCAAGCGTGAATCGTATTCTTTCAATTCGATAACCTTGTTTACACTAAAAGACCGCGTTAGATTTACAGTATTCTTAAAGGATGCTTCTATTTTTATAGATTTTATTTGAATTATTTACTTGTACTGGGTTTGTTGCTCCCGCAGAAGCTTTGTAATAATCAATAAGGTTCGGTCAGGGATCGCCGATTATCTTATCGCCGAACTTATCCTATTAAAGGCTATTGTATCCAGTGCATTATTTATTTTTACAGCTAAGAAAAGCGTTTTTTACCTCTAATCTCGACAGTAACAATCACAATCGGCCAACATTCACGAAAACTAACGTCAATTCTTCTATATACTCTCTCCAATACTGATTGCAATTTTACCCTAACAATGGTCCAAAAATATCTAACAGCATTCCTAAACGATCAAGTAGAAAAATATTTTAAATATGCCTCACAGAAATTTTTAATAATCTTTTTTCTCACTTTAAACATCATGATATATTTTTTTTTGTGAAATGCGCCCTAATAAGGATGTAGATACAGTGATCTGTAAAGAGTGTTTGTTAATTATCTATAATGACATTCTGTTTAATGCCTGGTTTCTATATTTAGAAAAATTTTGTTCGTGACTCGTTTTATTCGGACAAATACTGCACGAAAAATCCAACAATTTATGCAACAACTTTACCCATAAGCTGTTGAATTTTAAGTCTTCTTTTAACGACATAATAGTATGTAAAATCAGTTTTTACGTGCGCTTCACACAAAATAAAACCGATCGTAACGGTGAACCAAACGTTTCTTGAATATAGGAATCGGGCATCAGTTTCATGTCTACATAATATTACCTAATTTAAAATGTTTTTAATGAAATCTACAGAGTCCTTGATAATTCGATA